GATCGGGAACATAATTAGTCGCCAACTAATTTGATTGGCAAATAGTCCCGTTTAGATTAGCCAATCATATGAATACGATCCAGTGAGAAAATTGTTCCAGTGGGATTTCTCACTGGAACCGCTGGAATGCTGGAAGAATCTGGACGTCCAGTGGGGTTCCAGCCTTCCAGTGACAACACTGATCTATACTATTGGTCAAATTGGTCAAATAGTATATTTAAATATAACTTATTATATATATAATATATATATATTATATTTATATAATAGATTTGACCAATTTGACCACTAATTTGCATAATTTATTATATAGGTAGAAGGCATTATAGTTTACTAAATAGTAGGGTTACGTATTTCCCGGTGTAGAAAAGAACTCCAAGATCGAAAAATTTTTTCAATTACAAAATCCGAAAAATTCCAAATTCCAATTTAAATAATTGGAGTACAGCTGTTCTCTATACTAACAGCTCTAATTAAGTATCGTTACATCAACTTTTAAGGATTAACTTTAAAAACTTTAAAAAACTTTATGAATTTCCGTTTGACCCGTTGACCCGGGTTATAACCCGGATCAATACCCTGACCCGCCCGGGTCGGTATTTTCTGACCTCTAGTAAAAATATAACTTGCATTGTTTTTGTTGCACCAAAACGCAGATGTGATTTATTTTTTAATACTGTAATAACGCGATTGTTGATTGTTTGACGCGTCACAGTGACTGATCATGTGAATAATTAGATCAAAATTATATAAATATTATAACCATTTTCTCTACGCAGTGTATGAGAAATTACAAAAAATAGACTTAATAGAAACATAGTAAGTAATATATAATTAATGAATTTTACTAAAACGCACCGGCAGAAAAAGTAACGGTGAGCACCAGCAACACTACCAAGTATCGTCGGTGTCGTCCATCTCGGTGTCGACGTTTTGGTGTCGTTATCGTCATATTTATTAACGATAATAAAAGTTGATTTTAAAACGACACCGAAATATACCACATCCGTACTTGAGTTAGAAGAAGAAAACAAGATTACGAAAGAAGTTGGAGAAAGAAAAAGAAGCAGGACAAGCAAGAGAAAAGATGTTTAGCGTAGATTTTAGGGTTTATGTTAAAATAGACGTTGGGTAGACATTAGGGTAGATGTAAATAATTATGATGAAAGCTCGTCTAATTGAAAATTTGTAAAATGGCTCGCCGACCTTTCGCATAGCATGCTGCCTGTCTCCTCTGCGTCGCTTCTTCCGTCGCCTCCTCTTCCTCCGTCGCCTCTTCCGTCGTTTCTTCCATCGCTTCTGCCGTCGCTTCCCCGTCGAACCCCGTCGTATCTAATAATTACACATTTGATTGATTTAAATTTGTTATGTCAAGAATATTGAATTTTTTTTTTGATCGATTATTTGTAAATTCTTATGTCAAACAGATTTAAACCATGACCTTTTACATTAAGAGTGATAAATTAAATGATTAAATTTATTCGTATTAAAAGCTTTGTTCTAAATTTTAAATCAAAAAATTTCTCTTATGAAAAGAGATTTATTACGTAGTTCAGGAAATTTCTGCGCTACAAATCTGGCACTCTTTTCGGATGTGTCTTATTCTTTTTTTCGGCAGATCAAGCTTCAACTTTACTGTTTGAATACTAGAAAACCATTCTATATTCGAAGCAATTAAATTATATTACTTTTTATAGTGATCTTTTTTTGATTTTATTGATGTGCATTAAGGCGTAAATAAAATATTGATCAAAAAGAGCAGAACGCATTTCAATAAAAGTTTATGGTTACTATCTTCCATCACATACTGAGGCTTAATTTTTTGATAGGGCTATTAAATTTAACAGGACCAATTTTGTGATGTTTAACAGTATTCATTGTATTAATTAATCAATAAATAAATTAGTTTTATAATGTTTTCTCAAATGAAATGAAATTAAACGCTCTTTTATGGAAATTTCGAAAATAGCTATGGCATTGATACTGTATTGAAAAAACCATAATAAATGCACAAATGCTGACATGTTTAAGGAGGGATGACTACAAGTTGTATACTGTACATGTTATTTATTTATTTGATACATCGAAATATTTCGCAAATACAATTCTTTTAGTATTAACTTATTTTATCGCAGAATTATTTCTTACACTCTTAATTCATGCGTATTGACATTCACTTAAATAATATCTGCAGTCTAAATCTATTATTAGTCAAAACATTATACCATTTAACCTATCCCATTGAATTAATTACCTTGCGAAATATCTCTTGTTGATCCTGAAATTTTTCTAATATTTCTAATTTTGCACCACTTTTAATTTCAAAAGGTGAATCAGAAAGTTCAGCATCATGAATCATATGTTGTCCAAAGAATATTTTTCCCTATAATGAAATAATGTATTATTATGAGTAAAAAATCACAAAAAAAAAGGATGAGTGAGAATAAAACTTACTTTAAATCGACGATATTTTGCTAAAGTCGAATATGGTTCTTTAATTTTTTCAGCAGTCTCATGATTTATACAGATCATGTGACACCTTCTACACGGACCAATTAACTTTAAAGTAATAAAAAAAATTGAATTAATATCACATAAACTTGTCGAGCGCAAACAAATTAGATATTTTACCCTAAACACTTGTCCACCAATCCTAATCATTTTCCATTCATCTTCTTCATATTCACACGTAGCTTTAATTAAAATATTAGCTCTAAAACAATCCTCAACAATTGTTTCATCTTTATTTTCATTTTCAAGAATCATTTCATTAACATGATTAACACTGTTACGTGAAATCAATAAAAATGGTGATTCATTTGATAATGAAAGATGAGCATTTGTCAAAGGTACATCAAGATGCGGCTTTATGAATCTTTGAGATTGAATGAAATTATTGTCATTATTGGTTATAGGTGGTTGTCGGGCTAAGCGACATGGTATACCAAGAAAATTTGTAAACCAATTTGTAATATGTGGAGATGTATATATAAATGTTTCAATCCTAGTTTACAAATGTTTAATTTTATTTAATATAATTTTTTAAGGCATCAATCAAATGAATCTATTATAAAAGGTAAATAAATAAAATACACACTTGTCACCGCAAACTTGAGACGAACATGTAGTAGAAGAGTCAATGTCATCAGGATATTCATTCAACTTTATTTGAAGAGGATCATGCCCTATTTGAGTGTATTATTTCATATAAAGTGCAATAATAATAATATTAATTACTAATCATTTTTTTTATAAAACATAAACAACAGAATGAATTTATTTATATGACGTTACCAGGTGCCGAAATAACAAGCAATTCTTTATCTCGGAAAACGACTGGACGTATTAAAGTCATCCTTGGGAATCTATTATTTTATAGCACAAAAATTACTCTCAATACCAAATGGTTAATGACATTAATTAGTAAGTTCTTACATTTTTTGACTTAATGCCTTTCCAGTTCTTAAATTTACTAACATCCATTCACGGTCATATAATAGTCCTTGACTAGTTACTGGCCAGGACGATGAAGGTGGTATGGTAAACCCGTGACATGATTTAATTGGATCTATATTAAAAGCAAACATCAATTATTTGATAAAGTTAAATATATATATATTTATTTATTTCAGAAGGAAAAAACATACACAAAGTTACTCTTTCCACAACCAAATTTGATTGATTTGAATAAGTTATATTGGTGTCAATACCAACTTTTTGTGGC